CAGGGTCAGCCCACAGGGATGTGGGCCTGTCTCATTTTGTCCAAGCCCTTAAAGAGTGTATAAGGCCTCTGAGTTATGCCAAAAAAATAACTATTTGCTAATGAGAAGAGGTAAGATGTTTTCAAATACGTGGAGACTGGGCAGTTGGGTGGCACGCCAGAGAGTACTAGACTGAGACCCCAGCTCATGTGTCTGTCCATTCTCACACTGGAAGACGCTCAGCTCAAAGCCTTTGGATGTGGTCCTTAAGTGTCAAATGAAGAACCTGAACCAGACAATGCAATAACCTCAAATTGTAGCAGTGTCTAATCCAGCCATGGTCTACCCCTTTACGAGACAAGGACAACTCTAGGTGAGTCACAATGCCTGAACCCAATCTGTACATCTTCATTTCCAGAGCTCTTCTCATTTTATTGTTCAACTCCAGGCACTCTGCCCTTTTACGTCTCAGCTCTGGAAAATGACAAGAAACCCTCCACAAGAGGAGAAGAATGGAAAAAGATAAGGGCCACAGGAGCCTCAAGAAAACCCCCCAGCCCTTTCCTCAGAAGCCATCACCACCTGAGGCATGGATGAATCACAGGATGTCTCGTGACTCTCATCGCCCCATCTCCCAGACAAATGGCTAATTCTTGGTCTCCATATACTGTCCCAACACACAGGAAGCCCAGAGTCTTCATAAATATGTTTTTCACTTTGCTTGATTGAAGCGATTATAAATGAACTCAGTAGGATAGAGCTTGTATTCTAGCTGATTAATTTTACTGAATTTCCTGGAAAGGCAGAGAGACACAGATAAAGGGCCATGGATAAAGGTTGGAGTTCAAGACACACCACCCCACCTGGCTTACCAGGCAGACTTAGACATGTCCTCTGACCCGAGGACTCCTGAAGTCTGGGTACTGCGAAGGCACTACACAGGATTTCCCTTTCAAAAATCAGAGTGGAAGGGAATTTAGAGGTCTCCAAATATCCAGAAACTATTTTTGGAACTAAATGACTTTTCCATTCACCATTCTTTAAAACCAAAAAGAAAGAAAGCAAGCTATTCGCCCAAGAAGTGGATGTCATTGACCATCTAAATGGAAACACAAGAAGTTTCTTTCAGGGGGGAGTACCAGATCACCTTAAAAGCAAGGCATTCCCCCCAAACTAATGCAAAGAACTATCTACCAACTGAAATGCTAAAAAATGAAGTTGATATCTGTCTATCAGAAGATCAAGCCTGAGAAGTTTATGTAAACTTGAAGTTGACTGGGATAAATATAGAAAACCTCCTATAACTGCATATGAAATAGAGGTTCCAAGAAGGTACCAATGACGCAATCTGAGTGTGTTACATGGGCTCCAACCCGGCAAATTCCAGAATCACAGACTGTTTTCCCCTTAAAGCAAAAGCCTGTTCAAAGGACATAATACACTACAGACCCCACTGAGGTAGCAGAGGTCAAATCCTGTCTTGTGCAAAAAGTCACCCCTTAAAAATGTACTCCATGATATAATCCTGGTCTTCTACCACTAGCATGATTGCCTGCACTCTGCTTTGATCTCAGATGTGCAGTCAGCTAACATTAAATTTCAGTAAATCTATAGAAAAATCTCTGAAACTACTCTGTAGGAAGCATACCTATGAATACCAAGTTCTTCCCTAGAGAGCTTTTTCTCAAATGGTAAATACATTTGAGTGAAGCTCTGTACAGTGGTGATACACTCGGAGGTTACATACTAGATAGCCAGAAATAAAAGCTGCTAACTGTAAAAGCATGCGGCACAGAAATGATAAATCTGCTTCAGGTTTTTAACAAAGTTTTGGAGTATGATTCCCAGGAAACGAACTATGAAATTTATATATGCATGGTGCTGGTTTAGAGAAACAGTAATTCAAACCCCAGAGGATCTGTAATCAAAAAGAAAAATCCTGTTTCTGAAATACTGACATTTTCGCCACAGCTGGGGAAATGCATCCTTCAGCTTGGATCCTCTTTGTTGTAACTTGAAAAAGAAACCACAGTTGCAATAAATCACCAGCCCTCCCAGAGCTGGCAATATCAGATGTTGTTAAACACAACGTTGAATGGAATTACGATGAAACTTCCAAGAGATTTTGTTTACAATCTTTGACCCTCACTTACTCTGCAGTGTATTTTATGCTATTACAGTTTTTTTGTTAACTCACCTAAGGAAATACTCTAAGTCTGAAACTTTTCCCACATAACCTCCTGTATTCATTTTTCCCTCCACAATTCCATCTATTTAAAAAAGCTGGGTCTTTGGTGATCTCTGGTGGCCTGGTGGCAAGAAGCTGTACTGCAATCCCAGAGGTGCATCGTTCAAACCCACCATATGCTCTGCTGGAGAAGGAGGGACAATTTCCTCCTGTACCAATCAGGTCCTATTTGACCATAAATAAACACACACACACACACACACCCCAAAAAATATAATAAAAAAAGAATTTAAAAAAGAAAAGCTGGTCTTTGTTTACATTTATACCCTTCCGTTCGTTTACTTTCTTTTTTTCTTATTATTGTCGAAAATATACAATTCCTATCCATCCAATTAAGTGGCATGGATGGCAAGCAAGTCAAGTGACCATTCTCACCCTCCTTTTTCTGAGTCGTTCCTCGCTCATTAGCACATCCTCTGTGTGCCTAAGGTTCCCTATCTAAACTGGTGTCAATTTGATCTCATATTGATCGCTGACGGATCATCTAAGAGCATAATGCTCAAGGCAGACAAGTTTCACTAGTTAAGCTCTTAGAAGACACCAGCCAGCAGGTTTGATGACTGTCTCAGGGTGGTCATTGTAAGGGCCCAACCTCAGTTCCTGAACACGGGTTCCTGGGCACGAAAACTGAACGAGTCTCTTAGTAGGGTTTTGAGAGAGTCACACGCACATATGGGAGAAAACGTGCTCGGAAGCCCAGCTCTGGCCACGTGATAAAAAGTCCCTGACAACTTTCAAGAAGAACTGGTCACCCATAAAAGTCAGCAAAATTGTGCTATGAAAGTGAAGCTGCAGTGCCCGATTACAGCCTTCGGCCAACTCCACTTAAATGTTTGTGGCTTGGTGAACATTCCATACATATTTCGGGCAAGGTATTCTGGGAGCTGAAGTTCAAGCTGTCCCCTGCTGAATTTTCACTCACTCTAGAAACATTGTCTCTGAAAGGATACACATGTTTTTACTTTGCAAAGGAAAAAAAAAAAAAGTAAAATATTCACTTTTGTCCACTCCATCAGCACGGTTGAGCCCGAGAAATCATACTTCTTAGAAAAGCCCTGTAACTCAAGAGAGGTCTGCAGAGAGTGAATGCAAAACGTCGGTCAGGAACACAAGTGGACTGGGGGAAGAGGGACATGGGAAATGCAGAATAACAGCGGGACTAGGCCATCCCCACAACCTGGCATCCCTGGGGTCTGCTCACCTCGGTCTCAGGCTGGACCACGAGACAGAAATGCCTACAGTTCAGTTTCTCATTCGGCATCCCCGCTGCAACATAACCACAACTGTTTCCTATTACCCTCGAAAATGAGCTTGAGCCTTTTCTCAGCAAAATGGTCTTTTTAATTGGTTCATTTTCCAGTTGTTTGGGTTGGTAGCAGGCAGACAGCTTGCAGGGCCGCTGATTCACAACAGTTCTACCAACCAGTTCCAGAGCTAGCCCAGACTCCATCACACAGCTGTGGGGATAGCTGTGGGTTAAAATTATAATATGATCTCACCTGGTTTTCAAAATAACTTTAAGCATCTTTTTAACCCATAAAAGTGTAGTAGGCTCTAGAGACCCTTCAAGGTTCAGCCATGTTCAGGGAGGGATGCAGAGCAAGTCCTCGGGTTTCATTTGCTTTTTCCATATCTGAGCACAGCGAAATCGTCAAACAATCCAGCAGCTTCCCTCCTCAAACATTTATTTTAAAACACCAGTGCCATGCAGCGCTCCCTTTCCTGCGTGGGCAGAAGGAAGCAGGCACAATGTCACCACGCTGGGCCATTTCGGAAGAGCCTGGAAATCACTGGAAAGCCAGCAGCCTTTTCTCTCTGGCACTCAGGCCAGGGTGCAGAGAAGTGACTCCAGATAGGACCAGCTATCAGATGACCCATGGAGACACTGAGGTTTGCCGCAAATGCAATCGCACAAAGAATGCAGACGAACCCTTGCAACCAGCCAGTGGCCAAAAGGAAAGGGGCAACATCACTTTAGAGAACGAGACTAAATGAACTGTAGAAGTGTTGCCACGATTGGACTTATTTACGTAAATAATCGGGCAACATCGTGCCCGATGTGGATCTGCCACAAAAGGGGACCTGAACGACCACTTTTGTTTTTCATTTCTTCCGAAACCATCTGGGTCTAATCATCTTCCCATGCTGGCCGCGGTCCACCGGGATATTTCAAACGGCATGTTAACTCGCTTGATTTTTAAGGAGCTGAGGAAGAGCAACTCTGCACAGTGTGGGAGCAGGCTCTCACAACTCTAAACCGGTGGGAGTCCCTGCTGTGCTCCCTCCGGCACGGAGCTTTGGATAGAAATGGCTGAGCTCACCATACAAGGGACCCACACCCCAAAGCCGGGAGGGCCGGGACGCCTGTGCTTCCAGGTGACAGCTCAGCTGCTCACTCCGGGGCTGGAGTTGCCTGCCCGTCCAGTGTCGCGGTGGCGGACCACAGAGGCCGGGGCAGGGATGGGCGAGGCCCCGCGGAAAGAGGAAAAGCGAGCCATCCGTCAGCTCGGCGGAGGAAATTCCAGGCGCCCAGCTCCCCGGCGCCGGACAGGACAGCGGGTGACGTGAGGGAACCGAGTCAGAGGGAGGAGGCCGCAGCTCCACGAGCCGAGCCGGGAGCCGCGGGCTCCGCGCTCCGGGAGTGGGGCGCCTCCTGGGGAGCTCGACCTCCTTCCCTAGGGTCCCGGCGACGAGAGGGGCGCCCGCTCGGCACCCGGACTCGGACCTCGCGGCAGGTCCCAGCCCAGCAGCAGCACCCCGCCGGCGGCCTTACCGGTCTCGCGGGTCGATCCACGACGTCTGGCGCGTGTTGTGGTCGATGTAGAAGACGCGGCCGTCGTAGTCGCGCGCCTCCTCCCAGCCGGCCGGCAGCGGCAGCTCGGCGCTGTCCCGGGCGCGC